TCAACTATTATCACATTGGATCTGAAAGAAATTTCTGTTTTCGGAGAAGAAAATGGAGTGTAGTACCAAAACCGACTCTTCTTGATTAAAATAATGCGACCAATGAGCTCTGATCGTCGTACGCAAGCATTTGTGGCGAATCCAGCGGGAATATTGTGGGATTTGCATTTTCGAAAATGAGGTGCTCAGCTAGTAAAATGTACACTCGATACTTCAACGTAGCTCCCTTTCCTATTGTTTACTATTCAGCTTCATTTACACCGATTTCAACTGCTTCCAATGATTAAAATGTATAAACTTTTGGTATTAACATGAGCAAATATAATGCCCTATGAAAGCTATGAGTGGGGATTCAGAATGACTATACATACTGTTTGGCATAAATTGAGAAATTTAGAAGGTGCTAACCTGAAGTTAGGCCTTTGTCGTATAAAGTTGTCAGACGGCGGCAAAGATCCTTGTTTACATGAGCACTTAAAAGTAGGGGATTCGTGCCTGAAAACGCTTCCTCAAGATCATGGAACATTTCCTTCGTGGTCTTCATATCATCACCATCCTCGAGACACGAAGGAAGCCATTCCTGACCATCATCATTTTCGTCAGGTTCCGGGATATCATCGGTGACAGCATTGTGTGCCTGCGTGGAAACCCCTTGATAATCTTGCCCTTCATTATCGTCATCATCTGAGTGAACCGAAAGAGGTGGGAGATCATTCGTTGCAATTACACCATCACTGTCTGAAGTGGCATCAAAATTATGATTTGACTTCTCTAAATCGTCGTCCCCAAAATTTATTTCTAATGATAGTTGATCTTGACCCTCCATTGCTTCCGTGTGGGCCGAAGGTTCCGGTTGGTGTGTCTGCGCCTCTTCTAGTTTTTGTAGCCGACGCTTCATTAAGTTGCGAATCAAATTATATCTATTTGAATAGAAAGAAAAACCTATTTATATGTCTAAGTAAAAATAATATACTCTCTATTCGATCAGGGTTAGTTGTGTGTTTAAAATACTCTAAAGCCCATAGCTAAAAATCGATTAAAGAAAATATTTTTATAATTTGTTTTAACGTTTGGGTTATTAGGGTCCAATTTGATAATTTAATTGGCTGGAGTTACACTCGATCCCTTCATCGCTCACGAACTGGTGAAAATCTTTCAAATAAAGTTGACATTGAATGTGCTTTGAAACTCAGTATTCTTATAGTAGAAGTAAAACCCACTTAAAACCTTTGAAATGGGAATCAGAGCAGGATTTTTTCGAAAAAAATCCTATCGCATTTCTTTCCAAGAAACTGAAATCCCACCATATTTAATATCTTTTCCGGTTTCAATTAACGAAGATTGGCTTAAAAATATTACAATTTTCTCATTTCTGTTAATCTAAATTCAAGTATGGGGGTGTGCGATAGACTTACCTCCACGTGGTGCACCCTGGGCAACGTATGA